AAAGTGTTACTAAACCCAGGACCCTGAACTCACTCTATCTGGTCTCCAACAGTACACAGAAATGCAATTATTTTAGTAAATATAAACTGCCAAATACCTTTTCTCATCAGCAGCTAGAGCAGTCTTGTGACTTCTGTCCAGCAGAACACTGGTTAAATCTTGTAGGAGGAGTTTTCTCTAGGAGGATGAGGAACCCCTGACCTCTGTCTGCACAGTGCTGACTGGCCCTGTGCTGATCACATTCACTCTTCCAGGGGAAAAAAATAAAAACGTCTCTAGCAATACACACCAAACTGAGCATGTGCAGAGTGACTCCACACAATATGTTATCAGGAGATGAGGGAGACACTGGAAGAAGAGGAGGATCACAGAAGTGAGGATCAAACAGCCTTTTTACTACATATACAGACTGTTTACTGTTGTGGGTTTAGTAACACTTTAAATGTATTTGTTTTGATATCAGCAATGGAGCCGACAGGGAACACACACACGAACACACACGGAGAGAGAAGAGTGAATAGAATGTTGATTAATTATGGTTCTGCCATATATTAATTGAGCAACCAGCAGTGAGGGTTTGCACTCTTTACCAAGCTATGCTTTAACTCACCTTTACATTTTTTTGGTAGACACAAAATTTTAATCAGGGAAAGGAGGATTATTTATATTTTGTTAGATGGGCAAAAAAAGGTGAAACAGCTACAGGATGTTATGGAAGGAAATAGGTTATGCATGTTTTATGTCATAGATTACCTTAAAAATCTACTCCCAAAAAGCCTGTGTCTTTGTACATTCCCACCACAGATGAGTGACAGTTCCCAACACATCACATCCTCTCCAAAATAGTGGAGACACAGCCACCCCAAGCCATTAAAGCAAAAATGGGGCAGCAAGCCATTAGATAAATGGAGATCCGCACAAATACAACATTTCGCACAAGCACTGCCAAAACCACTATGGGAAAGACAATGTGAGGTTAACAGAGAAATTATTTAGCTCTCCTTCTTGTAGTAAGCATAGTATTTCAAAACTATGTAAGGTGCTAGTGAAAGAGTCAGAACCTAAGTGGCTACCTTACTTTGAGAAATGGGAGCAGGAACTGGGAGGGGAATTAGATCAGAAGCAGAGGAGAAAAGTTTTAAAATTAGCATGTTTGTTATCAATTGGAGCAAAGACAACAAAAATGTCATTTAAACTTTTTGCTAGGTGGTACGTGACCCTGCTGATGGCGCAGAGGCTCAGGGTGGATGTGTCTCCACTATGTTATATTGGATATGATGTGTCGAGAACCTTCACTCATCTGTGGTGGGAATGTACAAAGATACAGGCTTTTTGGGAGGAGGTGGTTAAGGTAATCTACGACATAACAGGAAATATACAGGTTGGGCTTTGGAAATGTTTGTGTCATAGTACAGAGAAAATGATAGCACAATACCAGATGTCCCTGGTTGCGCACTTATTAAATGCTGCTAAAAGCCTGATCCCCAAGTCTTGGTGATCACAAAGAAATCCAGAGCATAAGAGACTGGGTTCTGTGAATTAACCAGACACGGATTATGGAGGAGATGATGTAAATAGGAGAGGACATATTAGAGAAATAGCATGCCATCAGGAGGAAATGGTTGGGGTTTAAGAAATCAAAGAGGTATTCTATGTGGATATGCTGGATACAGTCAAGTCCATAAATATTGGGACATCGACACAATTCTAAAATTTTTGGATCTATATACCACCACAATGGATTTGAAATGAAACGAACAAGATGTGCTTTAACTGCAGACTGTCAGCTTTAATTTGAGGGTATTTACATCCAAATCAGGTGAACGGTGTAGGAATTACAACAGTTTGCATATGTGCCTCCCACTTATAAGGGACCAAACGTAATGGGACAATTGGCTTCTCAGCTGTTCCATGGCCAGATTTGTGTTATTCCCTGATTATCCCAATTACAATGAGCAGATAAAAGTTCCAGAGTTCATTTCAAGTGTGCTATTTGCATTTGGAATCTGTTGCTGTCAGCTCCCAAGATGAGATCCAAAGAGCTGTCACTATCAGTGAAGCAAGCCATCATTAGGCTGAAAAATCAAAACAAACCCATCAGGGAGATAGCAAAAACATTAGGCGTGGCTAAAACAACTGTTTGGAACATTCTTAAAAAGAAGGAACGCACCGGTGAGCTCAGCAACACCAAAAGACCCGGAAGACCACGGAAAACAACTGTGGTGGATGACCGAAGAATTCTTTCCCTGGTGAAGAAAACACCCTTCACAACAGTTGGCCAGATCAAGAACACTCTCCAGGAGGTAGGTGTATGTGTGTCAAAGTCAACAATCAAGAGAAGACTTCACCAGAGTGAATACAGAGGGTTCACCACAAGATGTAAACCATTGGTGAGCCTCAAAAACATGAAGACCAGATTAGAGTTTGCCAAACGACATCTAAAAAAGCCTTCACAGTTCTGGAACAACATCCTATGGACAGATGAGACCAGATCAACTTGTACCAGAGTGATGGGAAGAGAAGAGTATGGAGAAGGAAAGGAACTGCTCATGATCCTAAGCATACCACCTCATCAGTGAAGCATGGTGGTGGTAGTGTCATGGCGTGGGCATGTATGGCTGCCAATGGAACTGGTTCTCTTGTATTTATTGATGATGTGACTGCTGACAAAAGCAACAGGATGAATTCTGAAGTGTTTCGGGCAATATTATCTGCTCATATTCAGCCAAATGCTTCACAACTCATTGGACGCCGCTTCACAGTGCAGATGGACAATGACCCAAAGCATACTGCAAAAGCAACCAAAGAGTTTTTTAAGGGAAAGAAGTGGAATGTTATGCAATGGCCAAGTCAATCACCTGACCTGAATCTGATTGAGCATGCTTTTCACTTGCTGAAGACAAAACTGAAGGGAAAATGCCCCAAAAACAAGAAGGAACTGAAGACAGTTGCAGTAGAGGCCTGGCAGAGCATCACCAGGGACGAAACCCAGCGTCTGGTGATGTCTATGCGTTCCAGACTTCAGGCTGTAATTGACTGCAAAGGATTTGCAACCAAGTATTAAAAAGTGAAAGTTTGATTTATGATTATCATTCTGTCCCATTACTTTTGGTTCCTTAACAAGTGGGAGGCACATATGCTAACTGTTGCAATTCCTACACCGTTCACCTGATTTGGATGTAAATACCCTAAAATTAAAGCTGACAGTCTGCAGTTAAAGCACATCTTGTTCGTTTCATTTCAAATCCATTGTGGTGGTGTATAGAGCCAAAAATGTTAGAATTGTGCCGATGTCCCAATATTTATGGACCTGACTGTATATGAATTTAGAGGGGGAGGGAGAAATAATATTTTATTTGGTGAAGATGGAGGTTCTGATATTTGTGACGTTTGAGAAACACATGTTCTGAGTTGAGGCAGGAGGTTAAGGGAAGAGACTGTTCTTAAATTTTTGATGGGGGGGGGGCAGGAGGGGAGGATTTATTTATACGGTGTTTAAGCTTTAAAGATTGTAGAACATGATTGATGATTAAAAGTTTGCATTATGGTATTTGTTTTCTAAAATAAAGGGAAAAAAAGAGAATTAAAAGAAAAAAAAAAAGAATAGAACTGCAGCCAACTGCCATAGAAGATGCTACAGGCTGGTAAACATTTTCCAGATTTGGAACAACTTTTACATATCTACTAACAGGTAATGCAGTAATAAAAATACTATGAAACAAGTATATTAGATTTTACAGCTACATAAAATTAAATTGCATATACAGAAAGATGTAAACAGCCTACTTTATTTAAAGTGAGAGGTAGAGAGACAGACGTGTGTATATTAATAAAGCAGCAATTAGGGAAGTTTCAGACACAGATAGTAAGGGAGAGCAGAGTGAGCAGAATGTTAATTACAGTTCTGCCATATATTAATTGCCCAACCAGCAGTGAGGGGTTGCGTTCTTTACCAAGCTATGATATTGCTGCAATGGAGACTGAGTAGAACTATGGGCAAATTATTTTTCCCATTTTGGATAGAGTAAGGGAGGGATATAGCTCCTGTAAGTTTCTTTTTGACATCTGTGTCCCATTGTGGAAATTTCCCTACACTTCTTACCCCCCATAGCCAAACAGAAGTGAGATGAAATCCTAAAATGAGTGAATTCCTGAATGTCACCAAGGCCACCAGAACCCAGTGTCCCAATTGGAAGATATTCTGGTTTTGGGGCAACCCAGATTTGGGATTTTCTTTTACTTTCACTCTTGAGGACAATGGTAAACAGGGCAAACAGAGAGGGCGAACCTCTCTAACAGGAGAACCAACAGCAATAAAAACTGGCAGGGTTGCTAATATTTCCCCACTCTATCCAAAAAAAAAAAAAAAAAAAGAAAAAGTTTTGCTTTTAGTTATACATAAATTCTGCATTATGCCAGGGGTGTCTGGATCACAAAACTGACTGCAGAAACTTAAGCCAGCCATAGATGGATTCAATCTCGGCGGCCGGTCCCTGCAGAACTGGCTGAGAATCAATCTATATGTGGGCAGGCTGGTTGTGCTGAAGTCGGTCTATCGGTCTCCAGCCTGTCTGATTTTTTCCACACAATCACTACCTGCAGCTATAGCCGCCAGCACTAATCGTTGTGTTCTGCCAGTAGGGAAGGCTCCCTGTCAGCAGAACACAGCAGCACTGTGGGAATCAAGCAATTTTCTTTCCTTCCACCGATGGTAGAAGGAAAGAAAATTGCATAATCTATGGCCTGCTTTTTATTTAAGCATTATCCACCCAGGCTGACATTAGTTCCCATATTCATATATTTTTTTAAACTCATTCCGCTATATATTTATTTTAAACAATGATTCTATTAATTAAACAAAGTGCAGTATTTTTGAAAAATAGAACTTATAGTTGTTTAATAACATAAGGAATTAGAAAATGCCTTCACGTTGTTCCAAGAATAATCAGTAAAAATGTATTCTAGTGGATGTAAAAATAATAGAAAAAAAAAATACTCACCCAGACAACATTTCAAATATTAGAATGCCTAAAGCCCACCAGTCCACCGCTCTTCCATGGCCTTTACTCTGAATGACTTCAGGTGCAAGATACTCCGGTGTTCCACACAGTGTCCACGTTCTGCAATCAAAAACAATGAAAATCAGGTTTATTATGTCAGTAATATAATCATGATCTTATAGCGAAGTCTTCAGATCTGGGAAACTGTATATAGAAATGAGGTTTACAAATAGGAAAGGTCATAATAGGTTAAGGCTAGCTCAAGAAAGGGATGATCACCCTGACCTTTCACCTCCTCTGAATACAGAGTGAAAAGATCACCTCTTTTCCATGTAGAAAATGCAGAGATCCATAAAAAAATGGCATGGACATGCTGGGAAATCTTAGCAAGCACTTCTGAGACGCTTGTTTGCAAAGGCACAGTTATACCATTACAGGAGATGCTCAAATCAATCACATTATCAAATAAAGATGAACGGCCTAAATTAAAACCAAGAGCTCATATCAATGATAATTAGTGTCATCAGTTAAAGCGGTATTAAACCCCAAACCAAAAATGTAATATATTGCAGCTTACCAATCATTAGATATGATGGCTGCATCTGTTTTCTTTTCTTTGGCTTTTCCCCCTCTGTTTTCACCTGGTGATGTGGCCAGTAACTCACCTCCTGTATTAGTGAGACACAACTCTGTATGATGAGCACAGGAGGCACAGCAGGCAGAAGCATTGACAGTTTGAGGGAGAGGGGAGTGTTAGATGTACTAGCAGATTTAGATACACTAACAAATTGAAGCCAAACTCCAGCTCACACTTTATAATCAGTTACAGCAAACAGATTTTATTTTTGGAATAAAGGTTTTTGCATGAATAAATAAAAGTTGATCATTGTACCCCCTGCCAGTGTTAAGTGTTTTTGTCTCATCCATGTAAACTGATACATTCTGCTAGAGACCTTGTGCCTTTGAAAAACAACATATGTACTGGCTGGGTCACATGATGAAAACAGAAGAAAAAGCCTAAAAAAAAACGAATGCAGCCATCGCATCTAAGAATTAGTACGCTGCAATATAATAAATGTTTGCTTTTGAGTTTAATACCGCTTTACATATCTTAAAAAGCTTTTTTTTATTATCAAATTAGAAATAAAGTGTCCTCCACATTGTCTAATTACGCTTTTATATATGATTTTCAATAATTGTCTGTTACATGACGGCCAGTTGAATGTTGTCTGCCCATAGAATTCATTCATTCAGTGGGCAGACAGCATTCATCTGGCCATCAGGTGGCTACCAAAGTCAAACAACAACCATGCTTGTTAATGTATGTATACTGTTGGCAGTTTCTATTGTCCTTGTTGTCCCCATAAAGGGTACTTGTACTTTCAAAGTGCATCTTTTTTTTTTTTTTTTTTCCATTAACCCCACCCTCCCCAGATGCATTCTTACCTCCATCCCGTTACCTCCCTTAATGTTTCCATTTTTCTTTGAAAATCTCCTTTGTACACCTTTAGACATCTACGGATCATGCCCCGTTACAGAGTATTCATTTGCCAAATTCTATTCCAAGCAAATGTTATGGGTTTTTTTTTTTCCTATTACATGTATACTATACAGATTTTTTTTTACCATTTATCATGCAAGCATATTCAAAGTCTGAACATTCTTTACATATACTAGAGATCCTCAACCAGAAGCACCATGACTACATTACTTTCAGCACTGCTTAGCTAGGAAATGACATATGACATCATGAAAAGGTCCAGCTTGACCAAGGGTTATCTAGTAGATAAATATGATAAGTATGAAGTAATTCCAATTTTTAAATCAAAAAAGAAAAAAACATATTTCTACAAACTGCCACTAGATGGTGGTATACAATAAGCTTAGCTACCCATCTGAGCTGTACATATGAATTCGGCTAAATTTGCTACAATGTGTTGTCTGCCATTGTCTTTTACAATAAAGAATGAGAGTTTGAAAATGCTGACTATTGGGTGATTATATTCATAGATATATACACAAGCAGAAAAGAATGGCTTTCCGGTGTGTTTTTTTTAATATTAATAATAAAGTAAATGAAATCTTGCTACTGAATACATATTAGCCACCTTGCTCATGAAATTGTTTCACAAATTAAAGTATATGTAAACCCTCACCTTGTCAAAAACCCATTCAGTTTAAAAATAGAAATGAAAGGGAAAACATTTGTGCATACAGGCGGACCTCAGTTTATGAACGCCTTGGTTAACGTCATTTTCGGTTTACGAATGAAAATCCGTTGAAAATAATGCCTCAGTTTACAAATTTTTTTTCGCAATACAAATGGATTAATTGGTTTTCAACGCATTTACATTTTTTTTTAATCATGTCCCTGTACAGCACTATGCCTTTAAAGTGCACTTTATAAAGAGCTTTGAACAAAAGACAACTTTTTTCTGACCTCCGGAACGGATTAATTGGTTTTCAATGCATTTACAAATTGTTTTTTAATCATGTCCCTGTACAGTATTTATGCATTTAAAGTGCACTTTATAAAGAGCTTTGAACAGATAAGACATTTTTTTTTTAACTTTTTTCTGACCTCCAGATTGGATTAATTGGTTTCAGTGCATTCCTATGGGAAACCGCGTTTTGGTTTATGAATTTTTCACAATACAAAAAGTCCCACAGAACGAATTAAATTTGTAAATCGAGGTACGCCTATACATATAAAAACATTATAAATACTGTGTTTCCCTTTTTCATGAATGATCACATTCCTCTGTTTTTGGCTGCACAAGGATCTTAGAGAACCGGGGGGAGAAACAGCAGTACACTGATCTTCCTAGTGAAAGACTATGCAGGAGTGTGTGTATTAGCAGAAGGAGGAGAGCATAGCTAGAAAACTGACCATGCTGTGCTCTACTGCCTAGTGTAGTCAGTTTTTAATAGGGAAGTAGAGTGACTGACAGGAACACCAGGGATTCCACAAAAAGGAAGCAAAACAAAGACAGCAGGAAATATTTTCATACAAGTACATGGTACAGCAGGCATATATCAGGAATATGAAATGTTGGGTTTACATATCCTTTATGTATTAAAAAAGCCATTCAATGAATGTATAGCCACAAAGCATTTTCCAGACAGTGAGGGTAATTCACTAAAGAAGCAGACACTGTTCACTTAAAGTGAATATTCACTGAGGTTAGTAAATATTGTAAAGCTGTGGTCATTTCTGTCATCCAATCGTCTGCAAGCAAAAAAAAATGTTTTTTTTTTTTTCATTTGTTTTCCCTTGTGCATGAATGGGTATTTAAGTGAAAACAGTTTCAGCTTACTTACTAATGTGGGATTAATCCCAAAAGCAAAAAAGTATTATATTGCAGTTTACCACTCATTAGATGTGGTGGATGCATTAGTTTTCTTTTCTTTGGCTTTTCCCCCCCTCTCTGCCCTATGGACAGCAGCATTGAGAGACTGGATGGAGGGAGTGTTAGCTGCATTAGCAGATTTAAATACACAAACAAATTGAAGACAAACTCCAGCCAGTACTTCGTAAGCACTTAAACCAGTTTTTTTTCTCTTGGGATAAAGGGTTTACATAAATAAAAGTTGCCCGTTGTAAGCTCCCCTGCTAGAATTAAATGACTTGTCTCATCTCTCTAACTGATACATTCTGCTGGAGAGCTTGTCCTTTTGAAAAACAACAGACTTACTGGCTGGATCACCAGGTAAAATTAGAAGAAAGCAAACCTAAAAAAAAAAAAAAAAAAAAAAAATGAATACAGCCATCACATGTAAGAAATGGTAAGCTGCGATATAAGAAATGTTTGCTTTTGAGTTTAATACCTCCTAAACTCAGTGAACAAACTCCTCCAAATCATTGGATTCAGGTGTTCCAATCACCTCCATGGCCACAGGTGTATAAAATCAACCACCTAGGCATGCAGACTGCTTCTACAAACATTTGTGAAAGAATGGGTCGCTCTCAGGAGCTCAGTGAATTCAACCATGGTACCGTGTAATAGGTTGCCACCTGTGCAATAAGTCCATCTGTGAAATTTCCTTGCTACTAAATATTCCACATTCAACTGTTAGTGGTATTATAACAAAGTGGAAGCAACTGGGAACAACAACTCAGCCACGAAGTGGTAGGCCACGTAAAATGACAGAGCGGGGTCAGTGCATGCTGAAGTGCACAGTGCACAAAAGTCGTCAACTGTCTGCAGAGTGAATAGCTAAAGACCTCCAAACTTTGTGTGGCTTTCAGATTAGAACAGTGAGAGAACATAGCTAGAACATAGAGAGCTTCACGGAATGGGTTTCCATGGCCGAGCAGCTGCATCCAAGCCTTACATCAACAAGTGCAATGCAAAGCGTCCAATGCAGTGGCGTAAAGCACGTTGCCACTGGACTCTAGAGTGGTGGAGACGTGTTCTCTGGAGTGACGAATCACGCTTCTCTGTCTGGCAATCCAATGAACGCGACTGGGTTTGGCGGTTGCCAGGAGAACAGTACTTACTTGACTGCATTGTGCCAAGTGTAAAGTTTGGTGGAGGGGGGGTAATGGTGTGGGGTTCTTTTTCAGGGGTTGGGCTTGGCCCCTTAGTTCCAGTAAGGTAACTCTTAAGGCGTCAGCATACCAAGACATTTTGGACAATTTCATGTTCCCAACTTTGCGGGAACAGTTTGGGGATGGCCCTTCCTGTTCCAACATGACTGCGCACCAGTGACAAAGCAAGCCTCTGGGATGAAAGTTTGGGGAGGAGGAACTGTGGCCTGCACAGAGTCCTGACCTCAACCCAATAGAACACCTCTGGGATGAATTGGAGCGGAGACTGTGAGCCAGGCCTTCTCGTCCAACATCAGTGCCTGACCTCACAAATGCGCTTCTGGAAGAATGGTCAAACATTCCCATAGACACACTCCTAAACCTTGTGGGCAGCCTTCCCAGAAGAGTTGAAGCTGTTATAGCTGCAAAGAGAGGGCCAACTCAATATTGAACCCTATAGACTAAGACTGGGATGCCAATGAAGTTCATGTGCGTGTAAAGGCAGGCGTCCCAATACTTCTGGCAATATAGTGTATGTGCAGAGGACAGAATCCTAGCTCCTGTATCTCCATTAGAGAGATTCACCCTC